TCCGGGCAGGGCTGCTCTCCGGGCAGGGCTGCTCTCCGGGCAGGGCTCTCGGGAGCTCTGGGAGGGGGCAGTGGGAGCTGAAGGTGCCTGGGCTCACTCCCTAAATGCCTTTTGCCTGATGAACTGCAGAGGGGTTGTTTGGCAGTGCCAAGCCCGGCTACCTCCCTGAGACAAGCAGGGTCAGGCAGCACATTCCCCGAGTGCTGCTCTGCTGGGACAGCTCTGTCACCGAGCTGCAGCGACCACAGGGTCACAGGAGCTCCTGGGACTTTGGGCTCAGAGCACGGTTTGGTTTGTTAAAACTAAAACCCCAAGAGAGAGCTCTGTGGAGAGAAGCAGTGTTGTTGCCGTGCGTTTGGTGCCAGGTCAGAGTGCTGGTGGTGGGTGCAGGTGTTTGGGTTTTACCCCCCAAGCTGTAGCTCCTGTTCCCCCTGAGCTCTGTGTGTGTGAGCTGGAGCCTGAGGGTGTCAGGGCAGAGCCCGGGCCTTGCCCTGTCCCTCGCTGGGTGTCTGTGGGTTTGCTGGGTGTCCTCATTCCCTGGCGTGGTCACAGCTGTGTCCTTGCTTTCCCCAGGGCTGAAGGGCAAAGCTGCTGCTGGTGACTGTGGGTCTCTACTGCAAACCATCCGTTGGGCTTTCCAGACCCTGTGCAATGCTACTGAGATTTCTAGTTTTCTTCATACCAGCTACTTTTCAAATAGTTTACTGGAAAAAAGGCAAATGTCTTAATAAGGCCTTAGCCCAAGAAAGAGGGCATTTCCATCCAGACATTACCACTCAGCATGTCTTCTTTTGTTCACTGCATACACCATAGTGATGCTTATTTGAAATCTTCTCTTTTGTTTTACCTTCTTCAGAGCTAATTGTTTACAAGTTGGTACACCTGGTGGTTGTTGATGTAGTAGTGACAAATCTCTTTCCTTGAGATGTTGTTAAATCCTGTAATTCTAATACATCAGGTCAACTGCTCCTGTGATCCTCCCTGAATCTTTTGATTTTGAAAAGGGAAATTCAAACCCAGCAAATCGGATTAGCAGGGCGTTGAGGAAGTGCACCAGGGAGCAAACCAGGATGGTCCAGAAGGAATTTGCAAACTGTTCACTGTGAGTCTTGAAGGTAAAGGTTCCCTCCTTGAAATTCGCGATCTTCTCTGAAAGGTGATGGATCTTCACCTCTGAGGAGAAGAGAATCATGATGAGGCAACCGCAGGAACCTGAAAGGGAGGGGGAACATGCTCATCACCTTGGCAACCCCTCAGTCATGGTGTGTGTGTGTGTGCCACAGCAAATACCACATGCAGGGTGTTCTTATGGCCACTGTAACTTACCTTTAACAGGGATTATTTTTGGAATCCAAGCCAATGGCTATTGAAATTGGTAAGCTTTTCTAATTGAATTTGGCTCAGGACCAGCAATATTGAGCATGGCTGCTTTAGTGCCCTGAGCCAGCAAAACATCTGTGCTCGTGTTCAGCTTTAAGCTGCTCATTGTCCCGTTGAGCATAACGGAGCTGTCTGCAGGTCTGAAGATAAAGACATACCCAAGTCCTTTATTAAGTTATGATGGCAACGTATAATACCTTGTAAAGTCAGGGTAAACCTACTTGTCAGCCAAGCCAGCAGCCTGGAGAGTGGGTGTTACCCTCCCTGTGTGGCAGTGGCTCTCAGAGACCACCCTCATAGTCTGCCAGCCCATCCCTCTCTGCTGCTCAGCCCTTCAGTCCTTGGCAAGGCCGTGCTGCCCTAAGGGGTGACCTCACTTACACTGTCTGGAACCCTCCTGTTGTGGGAGCAGTTGCATCACTGACATCTTTTGGTTGTTTTTCACCTGGTTCCTGGCT